GAGAATGCAGCCTGCGCTGCGCTCGACCACCTGAAGGGAGTTTTGGAGGAGGTCAAGGACATCAGAGGGGCGGCGAGCTGGCTGAAATTGCGAATAAAACGCCGGTAAAAATTGGCGAAGCCCAGAAATCTCAGCAGGGCCTTACGAGACTCCGGAATTGGCCAATTTACCACAGCCTGAACCTTCTCTGGATCCATGCGCACCCCCTCGACTGACACAATGTGTCCTAGAAAGGGAACAGACTGTGCATGGAACACGCATTTCTCCGCCTTGACAAAAAGCCCATTCTCTAGCAGCTGCTGAAGCACTCGCCTGACGTGCTGCACATGTTCCTGGAGAGAACGAGAAAAAATTAGAATGTCATCCAGGTAGACATAAATAAACTGATCTATCATGTCTCGCAACACGTCATTTACGAGTGCTTGGAAAACTGCAGGAGCATTAGAAAGCCCGAACGCAAGAACACAATATTCAAAATGTCCCCTGGGGGTCAAAAACGCAGTTTTCCACTCATGACCCTGCTTCATGCGAACCAAATGATATGCGTTACGGAGATCTAATTTCCTGAAAAACGAAGCCCCCTGCAGACGCTCGAACGCTGAAGACATCAGCGTCAAAGGATACGTATTCTTCACCGTGATGCTGTTCAGCCCTCGATAGTCAATGCAGGGTCTAAGAGACCCATCCTTCTTTTTCACGAAAAAGAACCCCGCCCCCGCCGGTGAAGAAGAGGGCCGTATGATCTTGGCCGCTAGAGAATCAGAAATATATTTCTCCATGGCCTCCCTCTCAGGAATAGAAAGAGAGTATAACTTGCCTTTGGGCGGAGACGTACCTGGCAATAAATCTATTGCACAGTCATAGGGACGGTGAGGAGGCAGAGAAGCAGCTTGAGACTTACTGAACACTCTCTTCAGGTCGAGGTACTCACTGGGCACGTTTGACAGGTCCATGCGCTCCTCCTGATACACAGAACAAGAAACAGCAGAATGAGCAGACGAAAGACAAGACTGATGACAGTTCTCACTCCACGAAAATATAGTATTAAGACCCCAGTTAATATGAGGCTTATGGAGAATCAACCAAGGATGACCTAAAACCACCGGTGTGTTGGAACAGTCTGTTAAAAAAATGAAATGTTTTCAACATGATTTCCAGACGTGATCAGTTTTATGGGTTTAGTGGAGTGAGTGATAGTGGGAAGGGAAAGTTCGCTGAGTGCGCGTACTGCAATGGGTTGTGCCAGAGCTATAACCGGAAGTTTAAAACTGAAAGCAAAACTGGAGTCTATGAAATTTCCCTCCGCCCCGGAATCGACAAGGGCGTGGGTGTTCTGACTTCCGGAACCCCATGTTATGGTGACAGGTAGTAATGTGGCCGCCGCAGAGGATTTGTCCAAACTGATTTCACCCATCAGTAACCTCTTACCTACTGATGGGTGTTGTCTTTTACGGGACAGGAAGCCACCCGATGCCCCGCCCCCCCGCAGTAAAGGCAGAGTCCCTCAGTTCTCCGACGGCGCTTCTCCTGCACGGACAAGCGGGATCTGCCCACCTGCATGGGCTCCGGGTCAGCGCTACTCATCTCCGGCGCCACCGCCGAGACCGGAAGCTCAGGAACAGGATCCAGAAATCTGCCATGCCTCAAGCGACTCTCATGGCGGAGCAGTCTGGAATCCACCCGGATAGCCAGATCCACTAATTCGTCCAGCGTCTTAGGCAGATCTAAAGAGTAGATCTCATTCTGGAGCCGATTCGAAAGCCCATGTAGAAACATGTCCCATTGTGCCTCCGCGTTCCAACCGCTTTCAGCAGCCAACGTGCGGAACTCGATTGAATAGTCCGCCACGCTCCGATTCCCCTGGCGGAGCTGAGCAAGGATTCGGGCGGCCTCTCTCCCTGAGGCGGCCCTATCAAAGACCTTCTTGAGTTCTTTGGAGAAAAGATCGAAGGATGAACAACACGGTAGCTTTTTCTTCCATGCTGTGGTACCCCATTGGGCTGCTCTTCCAGACAAGAGCGTGATTACGAACGCCACCTTGGACTGCTCAGAGGAAAACAAGGATGGCTGCAGGGTGATGTACAAGGAGCATTTGGCCAGGAAGGACCGACACAAGTGCGGCTCTCCAGCATAGCAGGTCGGAGGAGGAAGGCGAGGCTCAGCAGAGCGGCTAGCGTTAGCAATAACTGGCGCAGGTATCACCTCCGGGGCTGGTGCAGGAGTCGCTTGAGCTGCTCCAGAACCCAGCTGTTGAACCTGCGTAGTCAGCAGTGAAACCTGCTCAACCAGGGCCTGGATAGCCTGTGCTGTGGTGGCTAACGCTTCATCTTGGCGATCGATCCGGGCATTGCTGTTTGTGAGGAACTCCGAAATCTGTGATGCACTCGCTGGATCCATGGTGAAGGTCAGTTCGTTCTGTCACGAATAAATGAATGTTCAGAGGGATCCAAGTGCGAGTTAAACAAAAATAATATTTATTGACAAAGTCAAACAAAAATCAAGTAATGAATGGTGCTAATGCTAGGAGAGATCGGGCAGGAATCAGAATGGGAAACAGGGTCCAGAAATTAGTCCTCAGATCCTACGCACACAGACAGAACAGTACACCATAAGCACACATAACGAACTGACAAAGACACACAGAAAACGTGGCCCATATATAGACCCGAATATGAGCCTCAGCTGGCGAGCTCATCAAGCCAGCTGAGTGCCGTCATCACACGTGATCAAAACAAATACACGAGGAGAACAAAAACAAACCAACGTGATCAAACAGACACTCCGGAAAAGCGCACAAACCTGCAACCGTTATGTTACCCCCTCTCTCAAGAGCACAGAGTTATGTAGCCTAATAATTACATTAATTCTTATAAAATTAAAACAAAAATACAATTAATTGCATTTTTTGTTTGATAAAAAATATAGGCCTACGGAAACGAAAAAAGAAAACCAAAGGGTGGCTAGTTTGTATTAATGTGTTTTAATATTAATAAAAATATGCTTGGCCTATTTAAGCTTAATGATTTTATACACTATCAATTGTCAAGTCATTAAATATTTTTTTTTTACTGTGTACTGGGTTAAAATGTATATTTTACAATAAAAACTAAATGTAGCATGTCTCGCTGTCATTTAAAACACAACTCATAAGACACCACAGCTGTAGGCCTAGGTCAACTGCCACTGGTGAGAGAGAGAGCGCGCGTGAGAGCTCAAAGCCGGTATCGACATAACCAAAAGCAAGATTATATCGTTACAAATATTAAATTAACAATACTTAAGGAAATATTTATATATTTACATGAAGTGTTTATTGTGCGATCATAGGCTGTCTGATCTTTACAGAAGCTTTAAACTGACACGTGCGCAGTGATCGCAGTGATGTTCAGCTCTGAAGAGGCGTTTTTATTTAGCCTGTAGTTTTTAGTTTTTTGTACAGAATGTTCCACTACTAAAAATTTCTTTCCCTTTTTTATTTATAGTTTATTTATAAAATGAGCACTAGCTTGTTTACTGTGATCAGCTAAACAAGGATCGTATTTCATGTTTAGCAAGTATCATATTTCATATTCAGTTTATTCTTTAGTAGACTAAAAATCCCTAATAATGTATTTTGTAAACAGATTGTTTATAGGGACTAATCTGTTAATATATAATACATTAATTATAAATTAAGACATTGAAGTAAAATAGGACAACAAATCATATCCATGTAGTGAATTACTGTTGATTGGTATCGGTGTGTGGTCTTGGCTTTTCATGTACGATACAAGTATGAGTATTTTATCCAAGTATTGACACGATACTGGTATCAGTATCGGTGCATTTCTAATTTTTGCACCCCTTCCCCTGGGCCCTTCTAAGATATTGTGAAGAAGGGCTTCAACATTTTATCCTAAGAAATGGAACACCACTACAGCACCTGCACCCGTCATCATGTCATCGTGCTCTCTTGCTTCATATGAGATCGACTATCATGACTGCTGTAGTTATTCCAGTTTCATTGTTTTTTGGCATTTGTTTCCAGGAAATGACTGAAGGCATATATCATGTTATCATAATGGTATAATGTAGCAATAAGATCATAACTACTGTGCATTTACACCGTGGCCATATTCATCTATGTAAACACACAAAAACTACATCAACATTATAGCAGACACTGTAAAAAGCTTATTCCTAGCCACTAGACTTGTCTAATAGGGTATTCAAGTGTCATTGAGTGATAGAATGTTGTTGGATTACTATACAGGAGTTTTTGTTAGGCATTATAGATAGCGAAATTTAGCGGTTTTTATTTTAGCATTTTTTTTAAAGCATGATGGTAAAACACGAACACCATTATGAATGTGTTAAAGAGCATATTATAGGTTAGACACCCCAGTGAGACAATGTGTGTAAGAGTAAAGTAAGAATTAGATTTTCTTTAAAATAAACGTAAAAGTTTATTATTAAGCCGTTTGGAGTCGTTTTAAGTCACGGAAATTTACTTCCGCGTTTGAATCGCCAGACCGGAAGTGACGTAGGATCAGGGAGTTCGCGCATATAAACACTATGAAGACAACTGATCGTGGTGCGCGTTTGGATGCCGAGATAAGATATTTTGAGAGACTCACACAAACGACAGACCACAGCCATACAATTATAAGCCTGTGGACAGACCAGCAGTCTGAGAAGTGTAATTTAACTCTATTGTTAGGGAGAACAGAGCAGGTTTATGGTGAGGCCAGTGTTGGCTTACAGAGAGATATGTAAGATAACAAAATCTTATCTGGCAACAGCAAAGCTAGTATTGATCATCTATAAGTATTAATACTTACCAGTAACAGAAACTAATGAGCATTTAACACAGTTATGCCACATTGACACTATTTTTAATAAGTGAATACAAAACACAAATAACACAGAAAGTCTGGAATAATGCAGAAACATGTAAACAAGGTACTGGAAAATCTTTTTTATTTTACAAAAGGTTTTCAGAGCTTCTGTATTAAAATAAAAACAACATCAAATATTAAAACAATTAAAATAAGTTTTTAAATATTTCTTTTTGTCATTTTTTCATTGGGTATAAGATTATCTGTATCAGATCCCATTTAGGCAACAATCCATAAAAAGACAAGTACAGTTTTAATAGTATAAAATATTTACAAAAATTTGATCAACAGATCTGATCTGCATTATGATTAAATAAACTTCAACCCTAATTCAAGTTCAAATTCTTAATGCTACTCAAGTTTTATGTATATAGCACAAAATCATAAGCAGTGTTAATACCCAGCATTTTTACTCTTTATATATGCATAAGTATCTGTGTGAGTGTGTGTATACTGAAAGGAAAATATATCATCTGACCCATTTAAAAGTAAACCTAAAATTATTTTTCAGTAAGTTGGCCAACGTTTATGTGGGTACCACACCATCATGTCTTTAATGTGTGTTAAATTGTGAATGCTGTGTAAAAAGATGCCAACAGCTTCATCCTTGTAAACCCGCTGGAAGGATCTAGAAAGGAGAGCAAATGTCGTGCAAAGTCGAGCCTGTGATGAACTCCAGTAGTCCACCGTCGGACACGCAGTGAGGGCTGATGCATATATTCTGGGGAAATAATGCAAAAGTTTAAATCATGTTTATTAATATTGTATATTTTAAAATTCACCATATGATTTTTAATATAACACAATACAGAAAACCCAACCACATTTGCAGACCCCTGGATAGTGAACTGCAAACCATCTCACATATACAGTAGACTGTACCCATTATAAAGTGAGCATGTAAGAACAAACTTCAATTTTTTGAATGTTATTTGTTTTTCTTCTACAAGATGAATATTCCTTATATGTGAATAAAAAGTGCCTTTCCTTATTGACAGGACAGAATATTTTTACTCTCCCTCAAGTGGTTTCAAACCTTATTGACTTTCTTCTGTTGGTCACAAACCAAGATATTTTGAAGAAAGCTAAAAATCTGTAACCATTGACTTCTATAGTGGGAAAAACAGATATGGAAGTCAATGGTAACACGTTTCCAATATTTAAAAAAAAAAAAAAAAAGTCAAAGATAGTGTGAGTTTACCTGCCTGCATTATATAGAAATATTTTAGTAATTCTTTGACCTTCTAGTTTTTGTTATCAAATAATACCATGCACAAATAATTCACGATAGGGGTCATAATATTTTACCCGATAAACGAGGTCAATGTCTGAGGTAAAATTGGTTTTATATTCCCACATTCTGACTTTCTCCCTAATAATATAATTTCAGAAGACTATTATTTGCTAATCCCTAATATCATGTTAGCAGCCAATGACTTATCAAAGTACAACATTGTTCACTGTCAGTTTAATAGTGCTAATGTGGTTTTTAAGTCATATTTACGTGTGATTTCAGTCATTATAATAAAAGTACTATGGTAAACAATACTGAGAGTGTGTCACACAAGCTGTCACTAATCGAATGTGCGAATATAAAATCCACTTTACCTTAGTTGAGGTTATTATGTGAGCCAAAGTGAAGCACAGTTGACCGAGAGGCCAGTGGAGAGAAAGCCTTCAGCTCCGGGTCATCATCTGTCTCCCAAAGTCTAATAAACACACCCCAAAGCAAACAAAGTCACAACGCTGTAACTATACAAGACATTTATTATATTAGCAAACTGATGCTACTAGCCGTCTTATCATATGTGTACATTTTTACACGCTTTAAAAAAGTATATTTAATATGCTTAACAATATCACGTTGCTTCAAATTACTCAAAGAATAATGCTTACGGATTTGAAAGTTGACAAACATAAACGAAAAACGAGTTGTCTTACCGTGTACAGCTCACCGAGCTGCATCTCCGACTGATCCAGGAGTGTTTTTCGCTGTTCGCGTCAGCTATCACTCTTATCGGATTCATCCCATTTCACGAACCAAAATAGCAAGAGGAAACTTGTGGACTTGATCTGTTGACAGGCTGGAGTTTGTGCAGTTTCCATAAACGCAATAATATACCACGATGATGATAAATTCCGCCAAAACTAACAACCAGTTCTGATATTAGCTCCTCTGCCCCACTGTAAACAGCGCGCGTCTGTCAGATAAGTCCCTGCACTGACGTCACCGGGATGGTTAGAAAAAAAAAGCGAAAGTGGGAAAACCCTTGCACTTCGTAAAACATTTTAATATGGTATTTTATGGTATTATAGAATATTTTCACAAACGATTCTACCTTTTTTTTTAAACAGTTTTTTAACTTACAATATGCTCTTTAAAACATATGCTTGTTTGTTGTAAAAATACATAATAATGACAAAAATACTTATTTGTGGATCTCCTGACTTCCGTGTGCAGCCATGTTGCCACTGTAGCTGGTGTATTCTGGGAAACATTCTCACTGTTGCCAACGTTTTTTTAAAAAAGATGCTAGATTACGTCATACGTTAATTTGCATATTACTGACGTCATCACGCTCTACCATTTGTTTGTTTAACAGCCTTTAGTCAATAAAAGAGGTATTTATATTTGCTCTACGATTTATTTAAGCATGTCAATTTACCTAAGTTTATTGCTGTTTATATACAGTTTATCAGTATAGATGTGTAGTGAATTTGCAGTAATCTCTCAGACAAGTTCTGAAATTGTCTCTAAAATATCTGTGATTGTGAACAAGAAAATAATAAACGGTCAAATTAAATTGTTAAAATAAAGGAGAAGCAGATCGGTTTGACTGTACAAGGGGAATACCTTCACACTACCAGTGCTAAATCATTTGTCGTCGGTGCACAGAGAGGTGATCTGCTGTCAGGCTGCAGGTGGGAGAGGCTGCTGTACGAGGAGAACTGGGCCGCCTGTCAGGGCTCTGAGGCGGTGGAGGGGCCGATGGCGTCACCCGCAGCTCGTTGAGAAGAGTAGAGACAGTACAGTATGGACAAATGACAGTCTATAAAAATCTCCAGTAACACAAAAAAGTCCCTAGATTTGTCGCTAGTCGCTTTTCTAAAAATGTGTCGCTAGGGGGTCTGAAAAGTTACTAAATCTAGCAACTAAGTTGGTAACACTGAACATTCTTACCCCTTGGTTTCGAGTGTGGTCCTGAAAAATCTCCATTTCAACGGGCATCTAGCCCTATACCTTAGTCCTACGCCTTAAGCTAAAGAGAATTGGGTAAGGGGAAGGGCTAGAATTGTTATTGGTCCTAAAACTGATACAGTTCAGTGTAATTCAATTGTCACTAGCTATGTTTCCATCCACCTTGTTGATGGATGGAACCAGTTGATGGAAACGCCATGATGCGCATAATTGTTGAAAATGCGAATAAAAAACTTATGCGCCTAACTGGGTAGGATAAACTTTTTGTTCGGAAAGAAAAGATGCGCATAAACTGTGATGGAAACACTTTTACTGCACAAACTCCAGCATGCGCATTAAAAAAGGTCATGTGATTTTGTTAAAAAATATCATGTGATGCTTAAAATGTGTGTGAATGGACAAAATGTCAGGCTTAGCACTATATAAAACATCTGAAATGTTGTTTTGGTCATTATAAAATGCCTTACCATTTCAGTATTAATGTTATTATATTATTAATGACCTCCAGAATCAAGAGTGCCTGTGCTCCACGTCTGACACCTTCAAACGCCACTGCCCGCTCACTGCTTGTCAGGATTGTCTTCTGAGGTGCATTCATTTAGAAAAGATTGATGCAGCTTCTCCTACTGCAGCAAATGCAGTTTTTACTGTTGATATTTGGCGCCAGTTAATCAGGAAGTGACGATTTTGTTCGCTTTGACTCGTTAAATGGAAACGATGCTTCATTCGATTCAATTCAATTCAGCTTTATTTGTATAGCGCTTTTACAATGTAGATTGTGTCAAAGCAGCTTCACATAAATGGTCATAGTAACTGGAACAGTGTGGTTCAGTAACTGGAACAGTGTAGTTCAGTTTTTAGTGTTTAAGTTCAGTTCAGTTTAGCTCAGTTCAGTGTGATTTAATCATTACTGAGAGTTCAAACACTGAAGAGCCAATTCATCGATGCGTAGCTCTACCAATCCTGAACCATGCGAGGCAGTGGCGACAGCGGAGAGGGAAAAAAAACTTCACCTGATGGGAGTGAAGAAAAAAAACCTTGAGAGAACCAGACTCAGTTGGGCACGACCATTTTAATTTCTCCGCTGGCCAAAAGTCTAGTGCAGAACTTCATTCGTCGTGGTTTAGGCTGGAAGATGGCCTCAGCGAAGACTCGTCTTTCCCTGGAGCGTCGCTGGAATCAGACTCATGTTCTCCACTCCCCACGACCATCAGCGCAGCAGCAGCTCAGGATATGGCCTGGTCCCGGATATGGAATCCTTGGGATCATCACGTCCCTGGTCTTGGATCCAATCAGTGACTCCGCATAATCTGAGGACCTCGGGATGAGTATCCCCAGGTGAAAATAGAGAATAAAGAAAATAATTAGCGTAGCTGCTGTTCATAGTGTATATAAGCAAGATGTAGGAGCCAGTGTGGAACCCGCTAGGTGATGCATTGAGTGTATGCTTTACTAAACAGATAGGTCTTTAATCTAGTTTTGAACTGGGAGAGTGTGTCTGAGCCTCGGACGTTATCAGGAAGGCTATTCCAGAGTGTAGGAGCCATGAAAGAGAAGGCTCGACCTCCTTTACTTGATTTTGCTATTCTAGGTACTACCAGAAGCCCTGAATTTTGAGATCTTAAAGAGCGAGTTGGTTTGTAGCGAGACAGAAGGTTGGTTAGATAAACAGGAGCTAGATTATTTAGAGCTTTATAGGTGAGAAGTAATATTTTAAATTCAATACGAAACTTAACAGGCAGCCAGTGTAAGGAGGATAAAATTGGGGTTATATGATCATATTTTCTAGACCTGGTCAGAACTCTGGCTGCTGCATTTTGTACTAATTGAAGTTTGTTAATAGAGGATGCTGGGCAGCCAGCAAATAGAGCATTACAGTAATCCAGTCTCGAAGTCATAAAAGCATGGACTAGCTTTTCTGCATCTGAGATGGATAGCATATTTCGTAATTTAGCGATATTTCTCAGATGAAAGAAGGCAGTTTTAGTGACATGGGATATATGGTTTTTAAAAGTTAGATTGCTGTCAAATATGACACCCAGATCTTTTATATTAGAGCTAAAGCTAACTTTGTATCCTTCTAATTGTAAATTGAGTTGCGAGATCTGCTGTGTGCAAGATTTAGGCCCAATAAGTAACAATTCTGTTTTGTCTGAGTTTAAGAGAAGAAAATTGTTGGTCATCCAGTCTTTGATGTCTTTGAAACACTCAGTTAGTTTAGAAAGTTCAGACGTCTCGTCAGGTTTAGTTGAAATATATAATTGAGTATCATCTGCATAGCAGTGAAAGCTGATCCCATGTCTTCTAATAATGTCTCCCAGAGGTAGCATATAAATTGTAAACAGTAAAGGGCCTAAAACTGATCCTTGAGGCACTCCATACTTTACTGGGCAGATTTGTGAAGGCTGTCCATTAAGATTCACAAACTGGTAGCGGTCAGTTAAGTATGACTTAAACCATTGTAGAGCCTGTCCCTGGACACCTGTAGACTTTAAGCGATTTATGAGGATATTGTGGTCTATGGTATCAAATGCCGCACTAAGATCGAGTAAAACTAATAGCGAGACGCACCCTCGGTCAGCAGCTAAGAGTAAATCGTTGGTTATTTTCACTAAGGCGGTTTCTGTACTGTGGTGAGCCCTGAAACCTGACTGAAACACTTCAAAAATATTGTTCGTCTGCAGAAAAGAGCATAATTGAGTGGAAACAACTTTTTCTAGTATTTTAGACATAAATGGAAGATTTGAAATAGGCCTATAGTTAGCTAAGTTGTTGGTGTCTAGTTGCGGTTTCTTAATAATAGGCTTAATAACAGCTAGCTTGTAAGAGTTTGGAACATGGCCTATAGATAAAGAAGAGTTGATAATGTTAAGAAGAGGTTCTCCTATAGCAGGTAGCAGCTCTTTCAGTAATTTTGTTGGAATTGAGTCCAGCATACACGTAGCTGGTTTAGAGCTATTTATAATTTTATCTAGCTCTTCCTGTTCTATGATTTTGAAGCAGTGTAGGTTATTATTATGATTTAATGAAATATTTACAGGATTTGGAGTATAAGCCGGTGCAGAAAGTTTGGCATCTCCTATTTTTTGTCTAAAGCCTTCTATTTTATTACTGAAAAAATTCATGAAGTCATCACTACTAATTTGCGGTGGAGTAGTTTGTTCCAAGGATGACCGATTATTAGCTAATTTAGAGATGGTGTTAAATAAAAATCTAGGATTGTTATGATTATTTTCTATCAGTTTGCGCAGGTGCTCGGTCCTGGCAGATTTTAGAGCCCTCCTATAGCTGGACATACTGTCTTTGTACGCAATTCTAAAGACCTCTAAATTTGTTTTTTTCCATTTACGTTCCAGGGCGCGGGTTGCTGTTTTGAGCGCACGAGTATGACTATTATACCATGGTATAGTTTTAATCTCTCTAGCCTTTTTTAATTTGATGGGTGCCACAGTATTTAGTGTGCTAGTAAAGATGGCATCCATACTGCTGGTTACTACATCAAGATCATTTGAGTTTGCGGGTGCATTACGAAATAGAGAGAGATCAGGTAAGTTATTTATAAATTCATCTTTAGTTGACGGAACAATACTTTTCGCACAACTTTTATGTGATAATCCAGTTTTGCGCATAAAGTTTATTCGCATTTTTGGATGGAAACATAGCTACTGTTGATGAACCACTGAAGAGACACTGAACCAATCACAACCAAGCAAGCCAGAGGCAACACATCAAACCTGACATGCGCTGACATGTTTTAATTTTTCAAAATGTTAAATACTCAGTTAGCATTAACAGCAGCTTTAACTATTCACCAAGTTGCCATGCAGAATTTGTTTAAGGAATTTTATTAGCATATTAGTTCAACTTTATTATGTCTTTCGTTAAGTTAAAAGGCTGAAAATTATAACAGTGGAATACTGGCAACACTGTTGCCATAAGTGCCCTTTAAGACTTTTTGGTTAGGGTGAGATCTATGACGTTTCCAGCAGAACCAGAGTCAACAAAGGCCTGAAGTTGACATTTTTGGTCTGCCCAAGTGACTGTGATGGGAAGAAGCAACCCACATTTGGAAGGTGAAGAACTGGATGTACCTCCCGTTACAGTCCTTTCCTGCCTGTATGGGATGGAGCATTTCCCGAAAGCTGAGGGCAGGAGGAACAAAAATGACCAAATAATCCACAATAAAGGCAACACCACTCTCATGCCGTGATCTC